GCCGATAGGCTGCTTGTTTGAAAATGTTGTATTTTGGACATGCTTTGTCAGTTGTCATTCAAACTTGGTACATAAATTATACATGTTAGGATACATGTCCATGGCGATTTATTTCGCAATTGGACAAAAGATGGTCGACTGGTAGGCATCTTGTTTTGGTTTTTTTATGCGGTATCTTGGACCATATTTTGACCATATTACTACTACACGGAACACATGTTTTGATGTAAATAAACAATCTGTTGTATACGTCACTTGGAACTCAAGTTTCAAGGACACGCTCACGTTAAAAACTTAACGGGGACTGTGTCATTTTCAATGACTTGTTTTCATAATTATGCAAATTTATTATGGAATTGCAACTCAAGTCGAATTGTTTGGTCTTACAGTGAGACCTATACATGGAAGTGAGAAAATCCTTGATATTTATACCAAGTGGGGAGAGAAGGGAAAGAACAACCAGGTTTGTCTCAAAGAAAACCACGTAGTGGACATGGTAAGTATGATAACAGTCAAACTTAATAATGAATATTATTATAAATCTGTCACCGTCACGCCATAAGTTACAGCGTGCCGTAATTTTGCGGTATTTTACGGGGGTATTTTCATCCTATCATATTAAGAAACATGAATTCCAAATATGGAATGATGGCTTTTCTGCTAATATTTCAAGTACTAATAATTATATTTCAATGAAACATGGTACATAGATGCCCTGGGATATTGCACAGACCTGATTAGTGTTTGGTTGAAATTCATTAATTACCTAATTTGTATATTAATTAGCCAACTTTAAGCATTTTCACTTGTTTCTCATGTACTCTTCAACAGTTTTTTAATGAAACCAAGCGAAAATATAGTATTTTACAGTATAGTAAATGAAGTACTTTTTATTTGTACTTCATGCCATCAATACCTCCAACACACTTTTTCTCAGTTCTAAATTAAGCTCTTTGTTGAATCTTTCACAAATACTCACAATATAGACTGTATTATTACTGGAATATCTATAAAGTGGGAAAATGTATTTGATGAAATGCATGTAGATGTTGTAGACAATGAATTATTATGGCAGCAAAATAAGAAATAATTATTTTTATTTCAGTGCAAAGCATCTTCATCAACGGCATATGGTATGGTTAGAATTTCTGACAAGAGAGCTTTCAAGAAGTTATACTTAGAGCTTACTGGTAGATTATTAAGGCTATACAAGGACAGTAAGGTTATTGTCACTCTTTGATCTTGTTTCTGTTATTATATGATCAAATCTATCTTTTGTTTGTTGTCTTCTATTATGTCATTGAAGGCTTCATCTTTTCTTCTTTTTTGTTATTGTAGTCTAGTAGTAGGCATGAATCTGAGTTATCATTGGACCAACTATTTATATATATTGGTATTGATCCAAACAAAGCAACACCAACTAAGTGAGTATATGCCATTCATTGATTACCAAGTCAATGCTTTACAATTTACAAGCTTCAATTTATATTTTTTAGTGCTCATTTGGATTCACCTCTGTGTGTCATGCGTCCATTCACTCATCTGTTTATCCATCTGCACCTATATCATCATACATGGCTGATACATCATACATCTTTGGATACATATGGCACATCCATTCGATTTATGATTCAATAGCCTGATGGCTAGTGCTAAAATAGCATAAAAATTATTTCCTTCGATTTTGAAACTAAATCTCAGTTGCGTATGGATGTATTTCATTCAAACTTGGTGCAATTATTAAAAATTATGGACTTTGATGCACATCATTTTGTCAACTATTAGAGAGACATACATTTTGTATTTCTGACATGCATGGGCAGATCAAGTTCAAACTTTACATGTACATCACACATCATTTCAGGCACATGCATTTGCTTTCCCATTTATTTCAAGACTGCAGTCATTATAGCAATTACAGAACCAATCCTTATTTAGTTCAAACTTTTCATACATACATGTACATTGAATATAATGAGAGCTTGATGCACATTGTTTTTGTTATTCAGATTGAATGAAATCAAAATGGTCGATTTGCAGCAAATTTTGTTTCAACAAATATTGTTGTAGAGCCATATAGTGCTTTGATGTTCAAATTTTGCATATATGTATCTATTTCTACGCTGTCATCACTTGGGTGATACCGGGTAATATCTATATCAAGATCACTGACAGTATGGGGTTTTGTTCATATGTTATACTTACCAATAGGTATATGCAATAGGAATCAAATTTATCTTTTCCACCCAGGTCAGTTTTTTTCTGTAAGTTTGTCATTGGGCAATAACAATCTGCTCATCATTCAGACTGATTGCCACATTGCTATTCTTTGCCATAGAGGGCAGGCTACACTTTGATAAGTTTATTTAACTTTAATTACCTTAGTACGGTATCCTTTGATGAAAATCCAAGTTGAATGTCAGTAGATATCAACCTGATGTAAGGGGTGGTCTATTTATTAACACACTAGCACTAACAGTTTTCAGAAATTGTTTTTTTTTATTTCAGTTATGGATTGACTTTTAGAGACAAAAATGATGTTAAAGCTAAGTAAGTATCTTATCATAGTTCTGTAAATTCACGAGTCACTCCAATTTCATGCTGGTTTCTATCATCTTGCACTCAAATAAACCGACCTCTGAAATATATACAATTTTTGATATATCTTATCCTTCCAAACTATATCTGGTATTTATAAACAAGGGCAAAGTTATAATTGTTGTGGTATATTTAGTTTTAGGTATATATGTTGTGAAAGTGAATATGATTACAGAAGATGGATTGGAGGACTTTTTAATGCCAAGGTAAATTTCAGATCATTCCTTATTTTTCTGCTCTGTGTCATTACCAACAACTTAACATAACCAGATGACTCTTACTGTGATTGTTTTCTACTAAGCAATGTGTTAATTAAAATCCCTTAGAATTTTTTAAATATCAAATTAAGGTCTTTCAAGGTCGATACAATGCCTAAATTAGAGCGATACGATGCCTAAATTAGACTGTTGCCTAAATTAAAGCAATGCCTAAATTAGAATACTGACAAAGTAGACATCCCACCCTGGAATTCCTCATCAACCAGGGACTATGCATTGCAATGCTGATACTATTTTGTATTCCTTTGTGCTACCCTATTGTTTTTAAGTAACTATGATATATATCACCAATACATGTAACACAAAGTCCTGGTGGCACATTATGTTAATCTGGTTTCTCTAACTATGTTACACTTGTATTCTTTTGCAGTATCCTGATGGTTTCTCATGTAATCGTGATATATCAACAGCAACACAATCTCCTGTTGATGGCATGTATGAGTATGTTAGCTCAGGAGCATGTAAGCCTGCAGTAATAGTAAGCATTTATTTGCATAATTGACACCCACCCATGTTTTACTTGCCTTTACCTTAATAACCTTTATCATACCTTCTTTTGGTACTTTTGTTGGAGATTTACTGCTAATAGAGCATGTGCTTTAGTGGTTATGCACATTTAGTACGTCAATCATTGTAGATAAGGTATATCAGAATCATCATTATACAAAAATGAACTACATTCTTGTACTATCTATATGCAATGACCAAATGAGACATGCAGATTCATGAACACATGCACTTCGCTGCTGCACATGGTGTTTTTCAGAGACCCATGATCATATGTTCTTTTACTTTTGTACTTCAGAATCAACCTAAGTGCATAATCTTGTAACAGAGCTTCAACTGGGATGAAGTCAATATTTTGTTTTAATTAATTGGTTCTTGTTCTCACAAAACTTGCACATACATTATGTATTTATACCTCTCTGTACATATGCAAAGTTGGTATGTGTACAGATGCAAAGTTGGTATGTGTACAGATGCAAAGTTGGTATGTGTACAGATGCAAAGTTGGTATGTGCACAGATGCAAAGTTGGTATGTGCACAGATGCAAAGTTGGTATGTGCACATATGTAAAATTGGTATATGCACAGATGCAAAGCTGGTATGTGCACAGATGTAAAGTTGGTATGTGCACAGATGCAAGATTTGTATGTGCACATATGTAAAATTGGTATATGCACAGATGCAAAGTTGGTATGTGCACAGATGCAAGATTTGTATGTGCACATATGTAAAATTGGTATATGTACAGATACAAAGTTTGTATGTGCACATATGTAAAATTGGTATATGCACAGATGCAAAGTTGGTATATGCACAG